TATAGATAGATATAGATAGATATAGATAGATATAGATAGATATAGATAGATATAGATAGATATAGATAGATATGGATAGATATCGATAGATATCGATAGATATCGATAGATATAGATAGATATAGATAGATATAGATAGATATAGATAGATATAGATAGATATAGATAGATATAGATAGATATAGATAGATATAGATAGATCTAGATAGATATAGATAGATATAGATAGATATAGATAGATATAGATAGATATAGATAGATATAGATAGATATAGATAGATATAGATAGATATAGATAGATATAGATAGATATAGATGAATATAGATAGATATAGATAGATATAGATAGATATAGACAGATATATATATATAGATAGATATAGATAGATATAGATAGATATAGATAGATATAGATAGATATAGCTAGATATGGATAGATATCGATAGATATCGGTAGATATCGATAGATATAGATAGATATAGATAGATATAGATAGATAAAGACAGATATATATATAGATAGATATAGATAGATATAGATAGATATAGATAGATATAGATAGATATAGATAGATATGGATAGATATCGATAGATATCGATAGATATCGATAGATATAGATAGATATAGATAGATATAGATAGATATAGATAGATATAGATAGATATAGATAGATATAGATAGATATAGATAGATATAGATAGATATAGATAGATATAGATAGATATAGATAGATATAGATAGATATAGATAGATATAGATAGATGATAGATAGATGATAGATAGATGATAGATAGATAGATATAGATAGATATAGATAGATATAGATAGATATAGATAGATATAGATAGATATAGATAGATATAGATAGATATAGATAGATATAGATCGATATAGATAGATATAGATCGATATAGATCGATATAGATCGATATAGATAGATATAGATAGATATAGATAGATATAGATAGATATAGATAGATATAGATAGATATAGATAGATATAGATAGATATAGATAGATATAGATAGATATAGGTAGATATAGATAGATATAGATAGATATAGATAGATAGATAGATAGATATAGATAGATATAGATAGATATAGATAGATATAGGTAGATATAGATAGATAGATATAGATAGATAGATAGATAGATAGATATAGATAGATAGATAGATAGGTAGATAGATAGACAGATAGATAGATAGATGGACAGATAGATAGATAGATGGACAGATAGAGAGGTAGATAGATAGATAGATAGATAGGGAGACAGACAGACAGACAGACAGACAGATAGATAAGTAGACAGATAGATCAGTAGGTAGGTAGGTAGATAGTCAGAGAAAGAGAGAGAAATAGTGAGAGAGATCAATCACCTTTCGCTCCATCAGTGGCTTCGCTCTGCCATCCCTGATTCACAACAACCAACCTCTCTTATAGGTTTCCTATTTCTGAAACTTCCCCCACCGCCTTGTGCGGTACAACTGGTATAATATAAAAGATTTTTTTTCGATCTTAAAAAGCGGACCCTTAGTTGACTAGTTTTTATTACCAGGGGGTGAAACCCTGAAACGGGACCTTCATTTTTAATTTGTTTTCGAAAGGGGATCAATTAATAATCAATTGGCCAGTTTGAAATTTCCCAAAATTTAACGCGGACCTAGTTTTTAGTATTTAGGGTGTTTAAAGTTTAGTAAAAGGAGGTGAAGATTATATGCACCAAAATGGCTTCGACGGGTATCTCTTTCATCTTTCATGTGATTATAGGAATCCCTGAAGATCCATGCGAATAAATAGGGGCAAATCGGAAATGCAGGCGAATGATTAAGTCATTTCTGATGATCGCAAATAGCGCGCGCATTGTCGAAATGTGCCAGTCGGAGGGGACAAGGGTTCATATTGGCTTCAAATTGCCTAACAGTTGCATGACAAACCGTGACAGACCGTGACAGAAGACAAAAAACTATATTTAAATCTTGGGCATTGTCGGAAAACGCCGTGACAGACCGCGACAAACCGTAACAAGGTCAGCGGCTACTCCCCAAAAATTGCCAGAATTTATCGGAAATCAATCGGAAAATAAACAATCGGAAATGCATGCAAAAATCATGGTCAGACCGCAAATAGCATGGTCGAACGCTCTGAGAGCGTGCATACCCAAATGCATGCAAATAGTCCATACTTACTTTGGATCCTCAGGGAATTAAAATTGAATAAGCTTCGGCGGTTTTTATTTTTACAAATCTTTCTGAAGCGTGAAGCCATGGAAACACCTCAGCTGGGCTTCCGCACCAAAGCTTCCCACACTTTCTCCCCAAACCTTCTCCGGAACCCTGTTGCCCCTGATGTGGCTCTGCACCAAAGCCTCCCAGCCTTCGCCAGAACCTTCTGCGGAACCCTGTTGAACCTGACCTGGTTTGGATCGAAGCCTCTCCAGACCTTCTCCGGAACCTTTTCCGGAACCTTCTCCGGAACCCTGTTGAACTTGACCTAGCTCTGCACCAAAGCCTTCCCGACCTTCTCCAGAACCTTCCCCGAAACCCTGTTGAACTTGACTTGGCTTTGCACCAAGGCTTCCTAGAACCTTCTCCGCAGCCCTGTTGAACCTGACCTGGCTCTGCACCAAAGCCCCCAGACCTTCTCCAGAACCTTCGGAACCTTCTACGGAACCTTCTCCGGAACCCTGTTGAACGTGACCTGGCTCTGCACCAAAGCCTCCTGCAGGCCTTCTCCGGAACCTTCGGAACCTTCTACGGAACCTCGTTGAACCTGACCCGGCGCCTGCACCAGTGCACACCGGAGCTATTCTGGGCTGAAGAGGCCATTAGCTTACGCTGTTGCATCAAAATGGCTCCGACGGGTACTTTTTTCCACTTTTCTTGTGTTTGTTGGAATTAAATTTGAACAAAGGAAGCTTTGAACATGGCAAAGCATGGTTTGGAAGGCGTTTCTATTGTTTGGTGGATGCTAACCTTCACAATTTGCCGTTGTATATGCATCAAAATGGCTCTGACAGATTCTTTTTTCACTTTTCTTGTGGTTGTTGGGATTAGAGGTGAAAAAGGAAGCTTTGAACATGGCAAAACATGGTTTGGAAGGCGTTTCTGTTGTTTGGTGATTTATGCCAATTTTCACGATTTGCCGTTGTATATGCATCAAAATGGCTCTGACAGATTCTTTTTTCACTTTTCTTGTGGTTGTTGGGATTAGAGGTGAAAAAGAGAAGCTGTGAACATGGCAAAACATGGTTTGGGAGGCGTTTCTGTTGTTTGGTGATTTACACTAATCTTCACAGATTGCCTTGTATTTGCATCAAAATGGTTCCGACGGGTATTTTTTCAGCTTTTCTTCTAATTGTTGGAATTAATAGTTGAAAAAGGAAGCTTTGAACATGGCAAAACATGGTTTGGAAGGCGTTTCTGTTGTTTGGTGATTTGTGCTAATCTTCACAATTTGCCCTGTATATGCATCAAAGTGGCTCCGGCGAGAACTTTGTTTAAAACTTTTCTAGTGGTTGTTGGAATTAAAGTTGAAAAAAGGAATCTTAGCACACGGCAAAACATGGTTTGGAAGGCATTTCTATTGTTTGGTGATTTTTTCTAGTCTTTACATTTTTGCCCTGCATGTATGCATCAAAATGGCTCCGGCGGGTACTTTTTTCCACTTTTCTTGTGTTTGTTGGAATTAAATTTGAACAAAGGAAGCTTTGAACATGGCAAAGCATGGTTTGGAATGCGTTTCTGTTGTTTGGTGATTTATGCTAATTTTCACAATTTGCCGTTGTATATGCATCAAAATGGCTCTGACAGATTCTTTTTTCACTTTTCTTGTGGTTGTTGGGATTAGAGGTGAAAAAGAGAAGCTGTGAACATGGCAAAACATGGTTTGGAAGGCGGTTCTGTTGTTTGGTGATTTGTGCTAATCTTCACAATTTGCCCTGTACATGCATCAAAATGGGGAATTTTTTCGCCTTCTTGTGATTGTTGGAATGAAAGTTGAACTGGACGACGGATGGCCCGAGAGCGTAGAGGAGCAGGGTCTTCTCTTGTTAGTATGGAGACACCATATTACAAAACAATATATTAAAGATGTGTTATAACTGTTATAGGCAGACGAGAAGAGGAGTATCCAGACAATATAGCACAAGTACAAGACAATAGTTTGCATCGCAAGCACTTTTACACACAGAAGCTTTTACACACAGACGCTTTTACACACAAAAGTTTTTACACACAGAAGCTTTTACACACAGAAGCTTTTACACATAGACGCTTTTACACACAAGAGCTTTTACACACAAACGCTTTTACACACTAAAACTTTTACACACAGACGCTTTTACACACAGACGCTTTTACACACAGACGTTTTTACACACAGACCCTTTTACACACAGAAGCTTTGACACACAGACCCTTTTGCACAAAGAAGCTTTTACACACAGACGCTTTTACACACAGACGCTTTTACACACAGACGCTTTTACACACAAACGCTTTTACACACAAACGCTTTGACACACAGACACTTTCGCACACAAAAGCTTTTACACACAGACGCTTTTACACACAGACGCTTTTACACACAGACGCTTTTACACACTAACACTTTTACACACAGACGCTTTTACGCGCAGACGCTTTTACACACAGACGCATTTTACACACAGACGCTTTTACACACAGACGCTTTTACACACAGACGCTTTTACACACAAACGCTTTTACACACAAACGCTTTGACACACAGACACTTTCGCACACAAAAGCTTTTACACACAGACGCTTTTACACACTAACACTTTTACACACAGACGCTTTTACACACAGACGCTTTTACATTTACACACAGACGCTTTTACACACAGGAAATCGCAATTTTACCTCAGTTTTTGGCGGTCGAACCTCATTTCATGCGAAACGGTCGCGGTTGGAAAGAGAAATTGCAATTTCACCTCAGTTTTTAGCGATCGAACTTCATTTCGTGCGAAAGGGTTGCGATTGGACACTTGAAATCGCAATTTTACGTCAGTTTTTGGCGATCGAACCTCATTTCATGCGAAAGGGTTGCGATTGGACCCTTGAAAATCGCAACTTTACCTCAGGTTTTGGCGATCGAACCTCATTTCGTGCGAAAGGGTTGCGCGGGACATGTTGAAATCGTAACTTTACCTCAGTTTTTAGCGATCGAACCTCATTTCGTGTAAAAGGGTTGCGTTTCGTGCCGTCTCGTTGGCACTGCCCCTGCCCCCGCCTTCAGAAGAGAAATAGAAAAGAAGGAGAGGGCAAGAGGGCAAGAGGGCAAGAGGAGAAGATGTGAAGATGTGAGGATGTGAAGATGTGAAGATGTGAGGATGAGAAGATGTGAAGATGAGCAGATGTGAAGATGTGAAGATGTGAAGATGAGCAGATGTGAAGATGAGAAGATGTGAAGATGTGAAGATGAGAAGATGAAAGACAGACCCCCACTATTGGAAGAACCCTGCGCTCAGACGCTCTTGGGAAAAAAGGAAGCTTAGCACATGGCAAAACATGGTTTGGAAGGCGTTTCTGTTGTTTGGTGATTTATGCTAATCTTCACAGATTGCCTTGTATTTGCATCAAAATGGTTCCGACGGGTATTTTTTCAACTTTTCTTCTAACTGTTGGAATTACAGTTGAAAAAGGAAGCTTTGAACATGGCAAAACATGGTTTAAATGGTTCCGACGGGTATTTTGTCACTTTTCTTGTGATTAGAACATCGCAAAACATGGTTTGGAGGGTGTTTCTGCTGTTCGGCGATTTATGCTAATTTTCACAAAATGCCAGAATTCACCATGCATGGAAAGATCAAACAGATTGGGGAAATCGGGAAACAAGTGCAGTCAACTGCGGAGACGAATGCTTAGAACACCGCTACCAGCCAAACTATAGTTGTGTTGTGGCCTATGTTTTCAGACCTTGTGCGGACGCACCTTTTGGCGATATTCTGAGTTTGGGTATTTTTATTTTGGAAAAAGTGGCGATATTCTAAGTTTCGGTCCGTCGCTATAAACAATATAGACTATAGATATAAAATGACTTGACTTAAGTAACTTCACTTAAACTTCCCTAACTCACTAACTCTTTTAAAAAATATGTAACTTTAAGCTAACTAGGGGGCACCGCCTTGTTTGTTTCACCTAGGCCTTTTTGAGATGCGCATGATGAAAAGATGTTGAGCAGATGTTGATATTCGGTTGAAACCTTCAGGCGATCATTGGGATGTTCTTCCAAGATGGATTGACCGGTTCTGCTTGGGGCGACTGGAGCCTGTACACTACCTCCCCTCTCCGTGCTGGCAGGGAACCTAGAATTGCCCGAAACTTCTTCGGGGGAGACTCCACTAGCTATGCCAGCTTCGACCCTGCGAAGGAACTTGGTGTGCAGGATCCTATCGGATTTTGGGACCCGCTTGGCTTGAGCGCGGACAAGGATGAGGCAACCTTCAAGCGCCGTCGTGCTGTGGAGATCAAGCACGGCCGCATTGTCAGGGTCTTGGTTTTTTGATGTTTTTTGACAAGAGCATTGACGGGATGTTAAAAAGAGGGAAACATGAATCCATGGAGTGGAGCCGTGCAAAGACGATCATTTCGTCAAGGTGACGCGCTCCCGTTTCAATGTGCTTCCGATTTCAGTCATGTCGCGCAGATTTGCCTGAGGCCATGTATGCAACCATTGGTTACATCGTTCCGGAATACTACAAGTTCCCAGGATACCTTTCACCATCTCTTGGGCTTAAGTTTGCCGATGTGCCAAATGGCCTTGCAGCGTTGTCCAAGCCAAGTGCTTACTTGCAAGCCGCGCACGCGATGAGTTTCCATATAAGTTTTGAGTTCCAGCATCTTTGCAGATGTAAAGAGCAGAATGGTTGGAGGTGATTTGTCATGTTGAGTTAATATACTAAGGCTGCCAGTGCTTGGCGGTGCCCAGATCATTGCCTTCGCTGGTTTGATTGAGACAACTGGGTTCTTCCAGGCAGCTTCCACCACGGATGGACGCGGCCCTCGTGAGGGTCAGTTCAGCATGAAGGATTCCACTGAGACAGGCGAGCCAGGCAACTACGGCGTCGGATTTCCCACCTTTTTGGGCAAGGTTGAGGACCCTGAAGCGCGCAAGACCAAACTCGCTGCCGAGTTGGCTAATGGACGACTTGCAATGATGGCCCCTTGGTAGCGCTTGGAATCCAGCGTGCAGAGGGTTCAAGGAATGTTGGAAATCGGAGACAAGACTGGAAATAAAGCGTATTGAGCATTCTTTGCCGTCGCCAAGTGATTTTAACAATTGAGTTCGGGCATTCGTCTGTGTTGAGTTCATCCAAGGTGTTTCCCCTAGTTTCAAGTAGATCACTTAGGTTTTAGGCGGGGTGAGCTTGTGATAAAAGTTGGGTAACCCATGGTCAAAATATATCTAGGATTGCGATAATCAGTGATCAGTAGTGCCGCACAAGACGATAGCGGAAGTTTCATTTGTAGGAAACCTGTAGGAATCGTTGTGTTGTTGAGTTGCATGGGCGACAGAGCAAGCTGTTGACCGATCGACGGGTGGTTGGAGAGTCGGCCTTTGGAGTGCATGTAGTGCTCAACGGATGCACGACCACTGGACCTACGGACTGACTCACCGGATGCTCCAATGCATGCAGCGGTTAGCGGATGCAGACCTACTGACGGCAGACAGCATAGCTAACATGGTCATCTGCCCTGCCATTGGTCTGTTTGTCCGGTTTATCTGCTCGATCTATCCATGTATTTGTCCATCTTTGCATCTGTCTATTTATCTACTGGTCTATCTATCTAGTCAATCTATCCAGCCCAACCTATCCATTTATATCTAGTCAGCGCATCCATTCAACCTATCCATCCATCTAGTCAACCTATCTATCGATCTTTCTGTCGTCGATCTATCCATCTATCCATCTATCTATCCATCTGTCTATCTATCTATCTATCTATCTTTCTATCTATCTTTCCATCCATCCATCTATCTATTTATCTGTCTGTCATGTGTTTATGTGTCTATCTGTCTATGTGTCTATCTCTCTGTCCTTTCTTCCTGTCTCTTAGTTTATCATCAAAGGAAGTTTGAAAGCCTAACTTCCGTGTTAAAAAATCTTTGGAAGTCGGCAAAGAAGTCTCACAGCAAAGAGATCTCATAGCAAAGAAGTCTCACAGCTAGGAGGTCCCGCAGCAAAGAAGTCTCACATCAAAGGAGTCTCACAGCAAAGAGATCTCATAGCAAAGAGATCGCATAGCAAAGAGGTCTCACAGCAAAGAGATCCCACAGCAAAGGGATCTCACAGCAAAGATGTCCCACAGCAAAGGGATCTCACAGCAAAGATGTCCCACAGCAAAGAGATCCCCAAGCAAACAAGCCCCACAGCACAGAGATCTCATAGCAAAGAAGTCTCACAGCAAAGAGGCCTCACAGCAAAGAGATCTCACAGCAAAGAGATCTAACAGCAAAGAGATCCCACAGCAAAGAGATCTCACAGCAAAGATGTCTCACAGCAAAGAGATCCCCAAGCAAACAAGTCCCACAGCACAGAGATCTCATAGCAAAGAAGTGTCACAGCAAAGAGGTCCTGCATCAAAGAAGTCTCACAGCAAAGAGGTCTTACGGCAAAGAGATCTCATAGCAAAGAGATCTCACAGCGAAGAGATTTCGTAGCAAAGAGGTCTCTTAGCAAAGACGTCTCACAGCAAGGAGAACTCATAGCAAAGGTCTGAAAGCGCAGCAAAGAAATCCCCCAGCGTCCACAGCAAAGAGACCTCATAGCAAAGAGGTTTCACAGCAAAGAGATCCCCAGCAAACAAATCTCACAGCAAAGAGATCTCATAGCAAAGAAGTCTGACAGCAAAGAAGTCTCACAGCAAAGTGATCTCACAGCAAAGAAGTCTCACAGAAGGAAGTTCAGTTTCACAACTTCAACCTTCAGTTTTGGGAAGTCTGGCACGAAAGCTTCGTTTTCACTTCTTCAACTTTTATTTTTTGAAGGGTGTCTGGCACGAAAGCTTTGTTTTCACATCTTCCACTTTCTCTTTTTGAGGCGAGCCTCGCACGAAAGCTTCGTTTTCACATCTTCAACTTTCAGATTTTGAGGGATGCCTCGCACGAACGCTTCGTTTGCACATCTTCCACTTTCCCTTTTGAGGGATGTCTCGCACAAAAGCTTCGTTTTCACATCTTCTACTTTCAGACTTTGAGAGACGTCTCGCACGAAAGCTTCGTTTTGTGTTAGAGGGAAGTCTCGCACGCACGCTTCGTTTTTACATCTTCAAATTTCAGACTTTGAGGTTATACTTTCAGATTTTGAGGGATGTCTCGCACGAAAGCTTCGTTTTCACATCTTCAAAACTTAACTTTTAATTGTTAGAGGGAAGTCTCGCACGCAAGCTTCGTTTTTACGTCTTCAAATTTCAGACTTTGAGGTACGTCTCGCACGAAGGCTTCGTTTTCACATATTCTACTTTCAGACTTTGAGGGATGTCTCGCACTAAAGCTTCGTTTTCACATCTTCAAAATTTAATTAACTTTTACTTGTTAGAGGGAAGTCTCGCACGCAAGCTTCGTTTTTACGTTTTCAAATTTCAGACTTTGAGGTACGTCTCGCACGAAGGCTTCGTTTTCACATTTTCTACTTTCAGACTTTGAGGGATGTCTCGCACTAAAGCTTCGTTTTTACATCTTCAACTTTTAGACTTTGCGGTACGTCTTGCACGAAAGCTTCATTTTCACTTCTTTAACTTTCAGACTTTGAGGTGTGTCTCGCACGAAACCTTCGTTTTCACATCTTCCAGTTTCACTTTTTGAGGGAAGTCTCGCACGCAAACTTCGCTTTCACATCTCTTAAACTTTCAGACTTTGAGGGACGTCTCGCACGAAAGTTTCCTTTTCCTGCTTAACTGTTTTCATGATAACTATGATCCCTTTTTCACGGCCCTCACCATTTTGCAGGGGTTGATGATCAGGTTGATGTGCTTCTTTTCCGGGACGGCGCAAAAACCAAACAGTCAAGTTCACCTTGAGCCATGCAGCTGCAGGGCATGTACAAGTTTCTATAGCGCACTTGCTTTTGCAAAGTTTGCACAGGCATCCTAGACCCCCAAGCTGCCACTGCCAGCCAAGATTTTTTCGCCTTTTTCGTGTCAAAGAAACTGCATGAGCCCTTTTCCAAGGCTCCAAAGCTGCATATGTATCTGCCTCGTTTTACAGGGCACCCATAGCTGCACATGAATTTAAACCCTTTTGCTAAGAGGCAATCAGTTTGTCCACTGCCTTTTGTTTACTGAGACATTGGCATGTTTAAAAGAAAATCCTCCAGTTTCTACACCTCCTTCCCCGCTCTTCCACACCTACATTCCTCTTCCACGGCCAGGCAGGGCATTGTAAGGTAGGGCATTGCATGTACTCCCAGTATTGTTACACCCTTGCACATTCATTTGGGTGGTTTTTTCAGCATATCTTTATAAGGTGCTGATGCCAACAGGCATTGCTGTTTTTCAGACCTTTTTTTGCAAGACCTCCCTTTCTGACAGGTCTTCATGTTTTTTTGAGCCGGAAACTGCTCAGAGTCTTCCAGGAATGAACAGTTGTGCCAAGACATGGCAGATCTGGGTTTAGGCAGAATGATGTTCTTCATGTTTTTGTTTTTAAAGCTCCAAGGGATAACTCTTTATTGAAATGCACTTTTAATGAGAGGTTAATTGAAATGAAAGGGCAGAAGATGGCAAAAGTCTGTTGGAATGAACGACCAAGAGTTACTGAAAGGACAAACTAAAAAAAAATCTGAATATTTCAACAGAACATTGAATTTCAATAATGGTTACCAAAGCCAATAGTCGGATTGAATCTTTTCAATCAGGCACGTTCTGGGAACGACCAAACCCAAAGAGAGCAGTTCGCGTGATGTTTTTGTCAAATGGTTCCAAAAAAAGGACATCGCATGTTGGCGGCCAATTTTCGTTGCGAACTCCCAAACATGATAGTTTGCTTGCCCAAACAAAGAACTCCGAAAAAAGTTGCACAACTTACATAATATAAATATAAAATGACTTACGTAACTTCATTTAAGCTTCCCTAACTCTTTTATAAACTATGTAACTTTAAGCTAACTAGGGGGGCACCACCTTGTTTGTTTCACCTAGGCCTTTTTGAGATGCGCATGATGAAAAGATGTTGAGCAGATGTTGATATTCGGTTGAAACCTTCAGGCGATCATTGGGATGTTCTTCCAAGATGGATTGACCGGTTCTGCTTGGGGCGATTGGAGCCTGTACACTACCTCCCCTCTCCGTGCTGGCAGGGAACCTAGAATTGCCCGAAACTTCTTCGGGGGAGACTCCACTAGCTATGCCAGCTTCGACCCTGCGAAGGAACTTGGTGTGCAGGATCCTATCGGATTTTGGGACCCGCTTGGCTTGAGCGCGGACAAGGATGAGGCAACCTTCAAGCGCCGTCGTGCTGTGGAGATCAAGCACGGCCGCATTGTCAGGGTCTTGGTTTTTTGATGTTTTTTGACAAGAGCATTGACGGGATGTTAAAAAGAGGGAAGCATGAATCCATGGAGTGGAGCCGTGCAAAGACGATCATTTCGTCAAGGTGGCGCGCTCCCGTTTCAATGTGCTTCCGATTTCAGTCATGTCGCGCAGATTTGCCTGAGGCCATGTATGCAACCATTGGTTACATCGTTCCGGAATACTACAAGTTCCCAGGATACCTTTCACCATCTCTTGGGCTTAAGTTTGCCGATGTGCCAAATGGCCTTGCAGCGTTGTCCAAGCCAAGTGCTTACTTGCAAGCCGCGCACGCGGCGCACGCAATGAGTTTCCATATCAGTTTTGAGTTCCAGCATCTCTGCAGATGTAAAGAGCAGAATGGTTGGAGGTGATTTGTCATGTTGAGTTAATATACTAAGGCTGCCAGTGCTTGGCGGTGCCCAGATCATTGCCTTCGCTGGTTTGATTGAGACAACTGGGTTCTTCCAGGCAGCTTCCACCACGGATGGACGCGGCCCTCGTGAGGGTCAGTTCAGCATGAAGGATTCCACTGAGACAGGCGAGCCAGGCAACTACGGCGTCGGATTTCCCACCTTTTTGGGCAAGGTTGAGGACCCTGAAGCGCGCAAGACCAAACTCGCTGCCGAGTTGGCTAATGGACGACTTGCAATGATGGCGATCATTGGGATGTTTTTTCAGGACTCGTGTTAGCCAGCTGTAGTTGATGTTGATGTAAACCTTGGCTGAGTGTGATTTGTCCAGACCAGCAATTTTTGCGAGGACGGCCTGACTGGCTCGGCCTGGGGCGACTGGAGCCTCTACACCGCCTCCCCCCTGCGTGCAGAGGCTGCAGAGGTTGATGAGCCGCCAAAGCCACCACCTTTCGACCCTGCCAAGCAGGTGCGGACCGCTACCAGTTATATACTCTTCCGTCGCAATTCGGTTGGCAGAAGCAAGGCATGTAGCATGATCCGGCCTACCTTCATGTATTCATGCATTCATGCCAGAGCGCGTAAGCCTTGTCGAAAAGCTCGCCAACGTGTCCCACAAGCAAGTTCGCGGAAGCGCCACGGGGCCCAAAACCAACGCAATCCTTCAACAAAACAGCAAAATAGGCTCCGGAAGCCCGCCGGAAGTATATTCTAATTTGTGGCCTTTCTTGAACATGAAAATCGTGGTCACAAAAGTATTGCGGAAGTGCCGCAAAGTTCATTAAGCAATGAGGCGCTCTTGGCGCAATATTGTTCGCTTGTTTCAGCTTGCAGGTGGGCGCCATGGAGCCCTTGGGTTTCTTTGACCCAGCAGGTTTCTCCAAAGTTGGTGACAAGGACGGGGCAATCTACGTTTACCTGCCTTCAAGAGTGATACAGTAATACAGGACTCATATAGGCCCACAAGATATCATTGGAAGCTAAAACGATCTAGATTCTTCCACGTTGTTTCAGTGAGCCATCAGGCTTTCTTGGTCTGAGAAAAGCATCTGCTGCTGGACAGGAAGGCTTCCAAAATCTTAGAGCTGCAGAGATCAAGCACGGAAGAGCAACTCGGCTTCATGCCGATCCAGCCCACCCTCATCGAATGCGCCAGAGGATTTTCAAGTCAGTGTCTGACCATGCATGCCCAAGTTTCTGCGTTCGGAAATTTTGAGATGCTTTGCAGGTTGCCATGATGGCAGCTCTTGGTGCCGTTGCCCAGCACTACATCAAATTCCCGGGCTTTGCAACTTGTTGCAGAAATATCCTAAGCATCCTGCCAATGCCAGGGTCAGCGCATCCCGTTAAAAAACAGAAAAGCTTGTTGCCAGCTTAAAAGTATGAATTTCTTAGGTTTGAATATGCTTGAATCATGCACTGAGATTGCCTTAAAAAAATAGAAAGTTGATTCTCAATGCAGGGTGTCGCGCGTGCGCGTAGGGTATTCTAAGCGGGCACTTGCAGCGGCCGCTTTGCAGCGAGTAAACTTCATTCTTTTTTGCGGTCCATTGAGGAAACTGTGCCTGCGGGAATCGGTGCTGTCACCACGCCCCCTGGCACTTATGGCTTCGCGGCTCTGTTCCTCTTGTCTGGCGCAATGGAGCTGGCAGTTTGGACCCAGGTACGTTCCAGCAAGCGTGTAAGCCCAGAATTTTGCAAAATGTCGGGCAAGCGTATCACCACAATCATCCACATTTGCATTTGTTTAGATTTTGCAAATGTGGATGATTGTGGTGATACGATGTGATACGCACACCCTGACAGGACCCCAACAAGGAGGCCGGAGACTTTGGAGACCCCTTGGGCCTGGGCCAGTACAACGAGGAGTTCCGCAACAAGGAGATCAACAACGGCCGCTTCGCGATGTTTCTAGGTCACAAGGACTAGATGCTAGTAGTAGCACTGCTAGATGGCATGTATACTCTTAATTTGCCTCTGTTGCGTGAGGAGATCTAATCACGATGAAACTTGATGAAGCATGCTGGTGGCAAGCAGCCACACGATGCAGCATAGAATCTTCGGTTGGGAATGGGTGTAGCAGTGCCATTGATCAGTATGAGGTTTGCTGCAATTGGCATCATCTCTGCTGATCTGCTGACGGGAAAGGATGCCATCCAGCAGTTCGGATAAATTCTTCCCTGCGCATGGCGGCCGCTGAATGCATACACGTGGATATTGAAAGGGAGAATTGAAAGGGCGTGCGGCGTGCGGTGCATGGAGGACAGTAGATGTACAGGAGTGGTGAAACCATGTGAAACCAATTTTCGGTATTGGCTTTTGGCCAGGCGTGTTTCAGATGAACATAGTCTGGCACGTTGTACAGCAGGCACACTTGTGCAGCTTGCTATTTCTGTAGTTAATGTTCTGCAGCCGCAAAATGCCAAGCTCCTTGTTCTCATTTGCACAGTACCAGGAAGGAAGCACGCTAAGGCAGATACATTTTACATCATTTTACATATTTTTACATCATTTTACATCATTTTACCACGCGCATGATGCTTGCTTGTTCATGTCAAAGCAGAGCAAGGCTCAAATAGATGGGTTTAAAGCTTGTCAGGCTTCGCTATGTGCTTGAAAGGTTGCACGCTGTTTCTCAGAATCCAGTGCTTGTTCGGCACGGCTGCCTTTTTTGCCACGTGATGCCGCGTGTATTTCGTCACCTTCAGGATCCTCCGCGGTTTGTCATTGACAATCTTACGCTGCTTGTCTGGCCCACATGTACAGATTATAGTTTTACCTGGTCCACGCAAGGCTTAGCCCAAGGCAAGAGGGAGCGGAGGATTCTTCTGGGGAAGTGGCAGTGACATCTATAAAACAGCCATTTGTGTGTAAAAGGGTTTGTAAAAGCATCTGTGTGTAAAAGCATCTGTGTGTAAAAGTGTCTACGTGTAAAAGTGTCTGTGTGCAAAAGGGTTTGTGTGTGAAAAGGTCTGTGTGTAAAAGCGCTGTTGCGTAGAAGCGTCTTTGCATCAAAGCGTTTGTGTGTAAAATCGTCTGTGTGTAAAAG